CCGACCTTCATGGTGATCCAGTCCACGAGACATCCTCCTTCGCTTCGGGTGAAAGCGGGATGCAACTCACTCGTAATATTGACGGGGTCGTCACTGACCTCCAAATAGATTGCCTCGTAGACAGCGACAACTGTGAGGCTCCAGTAGACCAAGCCCACTCTTCGGACAAGCTCTAAAGATGAATATCTTCACCGAACAGTTTCGCTCAAAATGGAAGTGGGTACAAAAGTGGTAGAGCAAGAGCTCACTCAACACGCACATTTGCTTCGTGTCTATCATGACCGGCTTGAGGGAATAGCAATAAAATATGGTCAATCAGCAGCGCCGGTGTCGGTCCTTTTTGGGCAGACTGGGCGAAGAACTTGGCTGCCTAACGACGGCCAACTCACCGATGATGTTGATGATGCCGAACATGAGGCCATCTTGTGAGATGACCGTCAGATAAGAGTTGTCTTGGTTGCCGTTCAGCGCCAGACGACACGTGATCAGGTTGTACAAGTACTGGGTGGAGCCTGCAGCCGGTTGCCAGGCAGCAACAATCAGACAAAGGAGAGAAAAGAGAGGTTTTTCGTTAGGACGTGGCAACACGGGGTCTGGCATGAAGACAATCCGGTTTAGCCTCACGGAAAGCCAAACCGACAGGGTTGGTAGTAACCATTCTGGGTAGTAACTGTATCGAAATCCGGCCTTATCTGAAGATAATGTTTCGACTAGCCAGACCGATCAGGAACCATTCAGATCGAGTGGGTTTCGAGATCATCATTAGACCTCGAGTATATCTTCTAGTTAACCTGTAGGTCTCATACGTCAGTTTAGTCTTTCCACAATCAGGTGGGTCGGCCCAAGGATGTTACAGAGTTTTGCCTGATCCTGTTGCCCGAGAGCGTATATTTGGCATGGAATAAACGCCAGTCTCGACATTGCCTGAGTCGGAAAGAGAAGTCATTAGAGAATAAAAGCTGAGTGGAATTCATTCATTCGAAATGCAGTCACCATATTTCTTTTAAGGAATAAAGAAATGAAAAAGTGGAGAATGAATTCACCACTCCAAAGAGAAGTAAGGGTTTACACGGCTTACATACTTCCATATATATATATAATTTTTATTTATTTATTTATATATAATACGATAACAATAAAAATGCTAAATATATTAAGATTAATAGAGTTATTTATATTATATTAATCTTAATCTATCAATCAGTTTCGTTGTTATCGTATCGTACTGCTATATTTTATTTTTATGTTTAACAATATTATTTATTATTAGTAAACAATGCTAATGCAAACATTCAATTTTAATAATAAATAATGTTGTTAAACGAGCAGGTTAACCTCTTTTCTATCATCTGCCCCACCACAATCTGGGCCGGAATCCCGTTACGTCTGTTCATGTGACCAATTCAAGCTGTAGTCTGGTCGAGTAGCGACGGGATGAGAAGCCATTTTAGAAGAAGAGCTGAGTGAAATTCATTCATTCGAGATGCACTTTGTCTTTTTAATTAAAGAACATAACGGACAAGGAGTTGAATTTTCCCACAATCACATGACTCGAACCTTACGATTCCATTGCATTTCACACAGTCTTGCTTCCCGAAAGTTCTTTTTACCTCGACTGGAGTCGACTACAATTTCGAGCTCGCCTAAACTGAAGTGTCTTGTCAACTCGACACTTTAACTAATAAGCCGACTTGAATGACAGGGCAGATGTGAAGTTGAAGGAGGACAAGCATTTTTCAAAATCACACTCTGCAGTGTGTGTCGATGAAGCAAATATACATTTGCCATAGCGATCGACTACATTAATTATATTTCATTTGTCGTAAGGTTTTCAAGCTTGCCAATAAATCACATTTACAAGACGTCTGACCCAGTGGCCATCGTGCCAATGTGACGTAGTGGTTAGCGTGTCGAGATTGCACAATGACCTGTCATGGTTCGAGTCCCGCTGGGCGTGCTGATGAAACTAGGCGAGACGAGGTTGAAACTGCAGTCCTGTCCACTTGATCCCAGAAGAGCACATCTTTTTGAAAGCATGGCCATGCAAAATGCAAAATAATCGCAAGGTCTACCCATTTTATTGTGTACAATTCAACTAATTGGGTGGCAAAACCTCTTATTTCACATCAATTGTCGGTCTCGAAATCCAACTTTACATAAATTACTACTCCCTACCACAATGTTTGTATTGCAATTTTCAGTAGGAGAAGAGCATTCTCGACTGAATGCTCTCTCTCACTCTCTCTTTTTCCTACTCACATTATTTGTCGACATCAATTGTATACGAAATGAGCTCCGCATGGACGGCTTCTTTACATCATGACTTGCAGAAATCATTGGTTCTGATGGTGACTTGTTCGAGTGAATGAAGCTCACATTTGGAAGATTCAAGAAGAGTAGATAAGTCAACTTTTTTCAACTGTGGCTTGTCTTTTCGGTTGGAATGACTAAATATTATGTCTAAACCATTTTTGCAATTTTCCCAAATATCGGCTAAATAGTTCATCCACAAGCACAGACAAGCTAGCCGACACACAGCTATGCGGAAAAGTGGGTTTAGAAGAAGTCCTTGATGACCGGCAGATCGTTTGATTGTGCCAAGACATCCACGGTTCACCGTCCTGCCACACCGATCAACCCATGCTAGACTTTTGACTGTACCTTCGTAATAGCCATCATCAGAGAAAGCATGCATACTTCACGAAATAGCGCAATACCATACAGAACCAAAAGAAAAGTTGCTCCGCTGCGACCCTACAATCATTTTGTATACACATAACATTCGCAAAATCCAACAATCTTCACTCCGCTACAATCCTCCTTCGGTTTGTGGTGCAAACATTTCACCAATTCTTTCCAGTTACTTTTTCCTCCGAAATGCAAAGTCATTCGACAAAACAAACACTCATACACACACATTGGCTTGGTTTTGCTTAATGTTGAGCCTACTTCCATTTCGAATGGAAGTGTTGGGTGAATAGATTCGAAGGTCATATGACGGAGAAAATCTTAGCACGTTTTCACCGGAATCGAAGGAGATTGCCTCGGAAACAGCGTCTTTCTGGTGGAACCGACCTTTGAATCTCTTTACCCGCCACTTCCACACGAAATGGAAGCAAGCTAAACAATTATGCAACAAGAGGTTACTCGAAACCCAACTTTGCTTCGTATATATTACGTGCGTATGGTTTTGATTAACCACAGGCTTTATAAAATCCGTTGTCATTCCGTTTGTCTGTGCATGCAAACGGCCTTTGTCGATAGATAATTTGGTACCATTCCTGAACAGACTGCTCTAAATCGAGATTTTCACTTTATTCAATTCTTCAAGGTTCATCTTTATTATTCCTGTTGCCCGGTTTCTAAGGCAAGCCCCGGCTGGTAACCGGTGAGTTTTTCTTCAAGTCTGAGGCGGATCAAATGAAATTGCAACTCCTTCAACTGGCCTGGAATGGTACTGTCTCAGTTGAAAGGCTCCTTGACGTCAAAACTCGAGCCTATCAATACCTCCTACTCGACATTCAACATGAAATGATGGTACAAATGCGTCGACATGATGGCATCAAACTTTATGGACGACACGCAAACATGCATTCAGTACGTCAGTGCTGCAGTTAAGGCATGATTGAACTTTTTGTGATCCAGAATTTCCTCTATTCACTTTTGCTTGTCTGTTCATCTTATGATCGTCTATTTTTTTGGTTTTAATACAATTCACATTTATTCATCCACTTGTGTGTGCATGTGTGTGTGGGATTACATAATGGAAAATTATAAGATCTAGGCATGAATGAATGAGGCACTTTGCGAGTTGATCGTTGGCTCACAGTAAGGTTGAAAGAGATGAACGCTAATCACAATACAATTTGGCACAATCAAAAATTAATCTCAGTTGTAATAGTATGAACATTAGTAATAGTAATAGTAATAGTAATAGTAATAGTAATAGTAATAGTAATAGTAATAGTAATAGTAATAGT